CACGAGGCGGTGAGCGTGGAGTTGAGCAGCAGCGTGGTGCGGATGCGGTAGAGCTGTGCCAGGGTCAGCTTGCGGTGCTGGGCGGCGGTCTGGGGGTCCGAGAGCGTCCGGCGGGGGGCGGGTGGCCCTTCTTTGGGGTTGGACCCCCATCCAGGACTCCCTTCCCCAACGCCGACGGACCGAGACACTTCCGGCGACGGCGCTTCCTCTGCTTCCGATGACTCCGATCCGCTGCCGCCGCCGGAGGGTTCACCGTCATCGTGCTGGGACGACCCGTTAGTCCGGGGGTCCGGGCACAGTTCCGAGAGGCTCCTGCTCTGGGCCAGTTGCAAGGACCCCCCCGAAGTCAGTTGCAAGAGGTTGGCCTCCGACTTGGACTTCAACACTTTGGTCTTGGAGGGGAGGAGCTGGACGGGCGTTTGCCGGCGGACACGCTGGCACGGCGCCGTGTGAGCATCCCCCTCCTCCTTCGTCACAGTCTGCCGCTCAGCAAACTCCTCCTCGACGGAAGTGGGCGAGAGGGTCCCGTAAGCGCTGTCGATGGAGGACGAGCGGCAGGAGTCCGAGTCCGGGGGTAGAACGGGGTCCGGGGCCGCCGTCGGGGTCGTCGTCGTCGCCGAGGAAGAGGAGGAGGAGGAGGATGCGGCGGTGCCGAGGGAGGCGGCGTCCAAATGAGATTCCGCCAAAGTGGGAGAAGCGGGGGCCTCGATGGGGGTCTCGACGGGGTCCACGGCCAGGACGGAGAGGGTCTCGGTGGAACCGGAGTCAGAGAGGCTGCGGGGAAAAGAGAGAGGAGTTAGGGAACGAAAGAAGGAGAGAAGAGATAGAGGGAAGAAAGGAAGGAAAAGGGGAGGGGAAGGAAGGACGGAAAGGGAAAGGAAGAAGGAAAAGGAAGAAAGAGAAAGAAAGGAAAAGGAAGAAAGGAAGACAACTGGAGAGAAAGAAAAGATAGAAAAGAAGGAAGGAAAAGGGAGGAGAATGAAGGATAGAAATGAGAAAGAAAGAAGGGAGAAGAGATAGAGGGAAGAAAGGAAGGGAAAAGGGAGGGGAAGGGAGGGCAGAAAGGGAAAGGAAGAAGGAAAAGAAAGAAGGGAAGGGAACGACAGAAAGGGAAAGAAAGGAAAAGAAGGAAGAGAAAGAAAGTAAAAGGAAGAAAGGAAGAAAACTGGAGAGAAAGAAAAGATAGATAAAAGGAAGGAAAAGGAAGGAAAAAGGCCGGAAAGGAAGGACAGAAAGGAAAAGGAAGGAAAAGAAGGAAGGAGGGAGAGAGATAGAGGAAAGAAAGGAAGGGAAAAGGGAGGGGAAGGAAGGACAGAAAGGAAAAGGAAGAAGGAAAAGAAAGAAGGGAAAAAGAAAAAGGGAGAGGGAAATGACAGAAAGGAAGAAAGGAAAAAAATTGGAGAGAAAGAAAAGATAGAAAAGAAGGAAGGACAGAAAGGAAAAGGAAGAAAGAAGTAGAAGGAAGGACAGAAAGAAGGAAGGAAGTAAAAGAGGGAAAGGAAAAGGGAGAGGGAAAGGAACGACAGAAAGGGAAAGAAAGGGAAAACAACTGGAGAGAAAGAAAGATAGAAAAGAAGGAAGGAAAGGGGAGGATAGAAAGGAGAGAAAGAAGGAAAGAAGGAAGGAGAAGGAAAAGAGAAGGAAGAAAAAGAAGAAAGGAAAAGGAAGAGGAAAGGAAGAAGAAGGAAAGAAGGGAAAGGAAGAAAGGAAGAAGGAAGGAAAAAAGGAAGGAGGGAAAGGATGAAAGAAGGGAAGGAGGAAAAGGGAAAGAAAAGAGAAAAAAAGGGAGGGAAAGGAAGGACAGAAAGAAGGAAAGGAAGTAAAAGAAGGAAGGGAAAGAAAGGAAGAAAGCAAGGATAGAAAAAATGGAAGTAAAAGAAAGCGAAAGGGAGAGAAAGGAAGGGAGGGAAGGAAGAGAGAGGGAGGCATAGGATGGAAATGAAGACAGAAAGGGAAAGAAAGAAAGGAGGAGAAAAGGAAAAGGAAGGACAGAAAAAAGAAAGAAGGGAGAGGAAAGGAAGGAAGGAGGAAAGGAAAAGGAAGAACAGAAAAAAAGGAAAGGAAAGGAAGGAAGGAAGAGAAGGAAGGAGAAAGGGAAAAGGAAGGAGAGAAAAAAGAAAGGAGAGGAAAGGAAGGAAGGAAAGAAGGAAGGAGAAAAGGAAGGACAGAAAAAAGGAAAGGAAGGAAGGAAGGAAGGAAGGAAGGAGAAAGGGAAAAGGAAGGACAGAAAAAAGAAAGGAGAGGAAAGGAAGGAAGGAAGAAAAGGAAGGAGAAAAGGAAAAGGAAGGACAGAAAAAAGAAAGGAAAGGAAAGGAAAGGAAAGAAGGAAGGAAGGAAGGAGAAAAGGAAGGACAGAAAAAAGAAAGGAAAGGAAGGAAGGAAGGAAGAGGAGTAAGGAGAAAGGGAAAAGGAAGGACAGAAAAAGAAAGGAGAGGAAAGGAAGGAAGGAAGAGAAGGAAGGAAGGAGAAAAGGAAAAGGAAGGACAGAAAAAAGAAAGGAGAGGAAAGGAAGGAAGGAAGAAAAGGAAGGAAGGAGAAAAGGAAAAGGAAGGACAGAAAAAAGAAAGAGAAGGAAGGAAGAAAAGGAAGGAAGGAAGAAGGAAGGAAGGAAAGAAGGAAGGAAGGAGGAGGAAGGAAGGAAGGAAGGAGAAAAGGAAAAGGAAGGCAGAAAAAAGAAAGGAGAGGAAAGGAAGGAAGGGAAGGAAGGAAGGAAGGGAAGAAAGAAAAGAGGGAGGAAGAAAGAAAGAAGGAGGAGAAAAGACAGTAACAGAAAAGAGAAGAAAGAGAAGAGAAGAAAGAAAGAAAGAAAGAAAGGAAGAAAGAAGGGAAAGAAAGGGCAGAAAAAGCAGAAAGGGGAAGAGAAGGAAGGAAGGAAGGAAGGAAGGAAGGAAGGAAGGAAGGAAGGACAGGCAGACAGACAGATAGACAGAAGATAAGGGGAAGAAGAGAAGGAAGAAAAGGAAGGACAGAAAGGGTAGGGAGGGAGGTGAAGGAAGGAAAAAGGAGACAGAAAGGGGAAGAAAGGAAGGAGAGAAGGAAAAGAAAACGCAGAATGAAAAAAAGAAAAGAGGGAAAGGAAGGATAGAAAGAGAAAAGAAGGGAAGGAGGAAAAGAAGGGAAAAGCGAAGGAAGTTGGTTGAACAACATGGAGAGTTCCCGCAAAGTTCGGACTTGAAACCGGGACGGATGCTGACCTTTGCTGGGAGTCGAGGCTGTTGGAGCTCTTGCGGAGGAGGGTGGGGGAGCTGCCCCCCGAGGCCCCGCTCCCGGCCCCCTCGCCTTCCTCTTCCTCTTCCTCCTCTTCTTCCTCTTCCTCTTCCTCCAGGCTCTGCAACTGCTGGCTGCGCTGGTGCTCCTTCAGGCGCAAGTGCTGCAGCTTGTTCTGCCGGGAAAAGGAGGAAAAGAGGGGGATGAAGACGCAGAACGATGAGAATGAGCGCAAGAGGAATGACGAGGAAGGACAGAAAAGGGAAGGAAGGAAAGAAGAGAAAGGAGGAAAAGGAAAGGAAAGGAAGCAAGGCAGAGGAAAGGAAAAGAAAGGACAAAAAGGAGAGGAGGAAGGAAGGAGAGAAGGAAACAAAAGGACAGAAAACAGAAAGAAGGGAGAGGGAAAAAGAAAGGAAGGAATAGGAAGGAAGGAAGGAAGGAAGGAAGGAAGGAAGGAAGGAAGGAAGGAAGGAAGGAAGGAAGGAGAGAAGGAAAGAAAGGACAGAAAACAGAAAGAAGAGAGAGGGAAGAAAAAGGAAGGAATAGAAAAGAAGGAGAAAAGAGAAAGGACAGAAAACAAAAAGGAGGAAGGAAGGAAGGAAGGAAGGAAGGAAGGAAGGAAGGAAGGAAGGAAGGAAGGAAGGAAGGAAGGAGAGATGGAAAGAAAGGACAGAAAACAGAGAGAAAAAAGGAAGGAAAGAGGGAAGGGAGGAATAGAAAGGAAGGAGAAAAGAGAAAGGACAGAAAACAAAAAGGAGGAAGGAAGGAAGGAAGGAAGGAAGGAAGGAAGGAAGGAAAAGGAAGGAAGGAAGGAAAAGGAAAGAAAAGAAAACAGAGAAAAAAGGAAGAAGGGGAAGGAAGGAATAGAAAGGAAGGAAGGAGAAATGAAAAGACAGAAAACAGAAAGGAGAGGAAGGAAAAAGGAAATAAAAGGACAGAAAACAGAAAGAAAGGGAAAGAAAGTAAGGAAGGAAGAGAGGAAGGAAAAAAGAAAAAGACGGAAAACAGAAAGGAGAGGAAAGAAAAAGAAAGAAAGGAGAAAAGGAAAAGAAAGGACAGAAAAAAGAAAGGGAAGGGAAGGAGGGGGAATAGAAAGGAAGGAAGGAGAAAAGGTAATGAAAGGACAGAAAACAGAAAGAAGAGAGAAAAAGGAGGGGAAGGAAGGAAGGAAGGAAGGAAGGAAGGAAGGAAGGAAGGAAGGAAAGAGGCAAGGGAGGAATAGAAAGGAAGGAAGGAAGGAGAAAAGGAAAAGACAGAAAACAGAAAGGAGAGGAAAGGAAGGAATGACGGGCGGAGGAGAAAAGGAAATGAAAGGACAGAAAACAGAAAGGAGAGGAAAGGAAGGAAGGAAGGAGAAAAGAAAAGGACAGAAAACAGAAGGGAGAGGAAAGAAGAAAGAAAGAAAGAGAAGAAGAAAAGAAGGAAGGAAAAAGGAGAGAGAGAAAGAAAGAGAAAGAAAGAAAGAAGAAGAAAGAGAGAGAGAGAGAGAGAGAGAAAGAAAGAAGAAAGAAAGAAGAAAGAAGGAGGGAGGAGAGAAAAGAAAAGAAAGAAAGAGAAGAAAGAAGGAGGAAAGAAAAAGAAAGGACAGAAAACAGAAAGGAGAGGAAAGAATGAAAGGAAGGAAGGAAGGAAGGAAAAAAGGAAATGAAAGGACAGAAAACAGAAAGGAGAGGAGGAAAAAGAAAGAAAGGAAGGAAGGAGGGAGGGAGGGAGGGAGGGGAAATGAAAAAGAAAGAACAGAAAACAGAAAGGGGGAAAAAGGAAGGGAGGGAGGGATAGAAAGGAGAGAAGGAGAAAAGAAAAAGAAAGGACAGAAAACAGAAAGGAGAGGAAGGAAAGAAAGAAAGAAAGAAAGAAAGAAAAGGACGGAAGGAAGGAGGAAGGAAGGGAGGAGTACAAATGAAGGAAGGAGAAAAGAAAAAGAGCAGAAAACAGAAGAGAGAGATTGATAGTGGAGTCAAGGCTGAAACGAAACCCGTTTCTCGCCACTTGGGATCATGAGCACATTAGAAGATAAAAGCGCCAAGTACAGAATCTGTAGTCAGACGAAGCAATGTTGAAAACTGCGTCAAGACATCTTTCCAGAGTCAAGGCTGAAGCGAAATCCGTTCCTGGCCGCTTGGGTCAATTAGTAGATTAGGGGATAATAGTGCCAAGTACAGAATTAATGACCCCCACCTGGGCGTTGCAGAGGGCGTCCACCCAACTCCGGCACAAGGACTGACCGCTGGTCTGGAAGGTGTAGGCCCCCACCGCGCTCCGGAACTCGTTCAGGTAAATCAGCAGGAAGGAGCCTGGAAAGAAAACCCAGGAAGGAGGCAGATCCTGGATGAGTAATCCCTCACATTTTCCGTCCTTTCACTTACCTTCCTTCCTCTCTCTCTCTCCCTTTCTTTCTTTCCTTCCTTCTCCCTTTCCACTGGATTCGTTTTCCCTTCCTTCCTTCTTTCCCCTTTCTTCCCCTCCCCTTTCCCTTCTTTTCTATCCCTTCTTTCTCTCCTATTTTCTTCCTTTCTTCCTTTCCCGTCTTTTTTTCATTCCCTTTCTGTCGTTCCTTTCTCTCTCTCTTCCCTTTCTTCCTTCTCTTTCTTTTCTCCCTCCCTCCGTCCTATTCCCTTCTCTTCCCTCCCTCCTTTCTTCCTTACCCTTTGTCTCCTCCCTCCCTCTTTATTCCTTCCTTCCACTTCCTTATCTTCCTCTCTCCATCCTTTGTTTTCCTTTCTCTCCCTTCCTTTCCTCCCTTCTCCCTTTCCTTTCCCTCCCTCCTTCCCTTATTCATTTTCCCTATTTCCTCCCTTTCTTTCTCCCTTTCCACCCAATTCCCCTTCCTTCCTTCCTTCCTTCCTTCCTTCCTTCCTTCCTTCCTTCCACTTCCTTATCTCCCTCTCTCCATCCTTTGTTTCCCTTTCTCTCCCTCCCCTCCTTTCCTTCTTTCTCCCTTTTCCTTCCTCCCTCCTTCCCTTATTCCTTTTCCCTAATTCCTCCCTTTCTTTCCTTCTTCTTTTCCACCCGATTCCCCTTCCTTCTTTCAACTTCCTTATTTCCCTCTCTCCCCTTTCTCTCCCTCCCTTCCTTTCCTTCCTCCCTCCTTCCCTTATTCCTTTTCCCTACTTCCTCCCTTTCTTTCTCCCTTTCCACCCAATTCCCCTTCCTTCCTTCCTTCCTTCCTTCCACTTCCTTATCTCCCTCTCTCCATCCTGTTTCCCTTTCTCTCCCTCTCCTCCTTTCCTTCCTTCTCCCTTTTCCCTCCCTCCTTCCCTTCTTCCTTTTCCCTACTTCCTCCCTTTCTCCCTTTCCACCCAATTCCCTTCCTTCCTTCCTTCCTTCCTTCCTTCCTTCCCTTATCTCCCTCTCTCCATCCTTTGTTTCCCTTTCTCTCCCTCCTTCTTTCCTTCCTTCTCCCTTTTTCCTCCCTCCTTCCTTCTTCCTTTCCCTTCCTCCCTTTCTCCCTTCCCCTTCCCCTTTCTTCCTTCCTCTTCCTTATCTCCCTCTCTCCATCCTTTGTTTCCCTTTCTCTCCCCTCCTTTCCTTCCTTCTCCCTTTTCCTCCCTCCCTCCTTCCCTTATCCTTTTCTCTTCTCCTTTCTTTCTTCCTCCCTTTCCCCTTCCTTCCCTTCCTTCCTTCCTTCCTTCCTTCTTTCCTTCCTTCCTTCCTTCCTTCTTTCCTTCCACTTATCTCCCTCTCTCCATCCTTTGTTTCCCTTTCTCTCCCTCTCCTCCTTCCCTTCCTTCTTCCTTTCCCTTCCCTCCCTTATTCCTTTTCCTACTTCCTCCATTTCTGTCTTTCTGTCTTTCTTTCTTTCTCACTTTCCACCCAATTCCCCTTCCTTCCTTCCTTCCTCTTCCTTCTCTCCTCTCTCCGTCCTTTGTTTCCCCTTCTCTCCCTCTCCTCCTTCCCTTCCCTTATTCCTTTTCCCTACTTCCTCCCTCTCTCTTTCTTTCTTTCTTTCTTTCTTTCTTTCTTTCTTTCTTTCTTTCTTTCTTTCTCCCTTTTCCCCCTTCCCCTTCTTCCTTCCTTTCTCCCTTTTCCTTCCTCTTTCCCTTTCCTCCTCCTTTCCTTCTTCTCCCTTTCTTCCCTCTTCCTCCCTTTCCACCCAATTCCCCTTCCTTCCTTCCTTCCTATCTCCTTCCCTCCTTTTCCCTTCTCTTCCCTCCCTCCTTTCTTCCTTACCCTTTGTTTCCTCCCTCCCTTTATTCCTTCCTTCCACTTCCTTATCTCCCTCTCTCCATCCTTTGTTTCCCTTTCTCTCCCTCCCCTCCTTTCCTTCCTTCTCCCTTTTCCTCCCTCCCTCCTTCCCTTATTCTTCCTTTGTCTCCCTTTCGCTTTTTCCTTCCTTCCTTTTCCCCTTTCCTTCTCTTTTTTCTCTCCTTCCTTTTTTCCTTTCTCTCCTCCCTTCCTTCCTTCCTTTCTTCTTTCTCCCTCTTCCTCTTTCTCTTCCTCCTTTTTTTATCTTTCTTTCTTTCTTTCTTTCTTCCTTTCCCCCTCCTTCTTTTCTTTCTTCCTCTTCCCCCTTCCCTCTTTCCTTCCTTCCTTCTTTCTTTCCTTCCCTCCTCTTTTCCCTCCTTCTCTCCCGCATTCTTCTTTTGCCCTCTTCTTCCTTCCCTTCCTCCCTTTATTCCCCTTTCCCTCTCCTTCCTTCAATTTACCTTCCTTCCTTCCTTCCATCCTTTCCTTTTTTTCTTCCTCTCCTCCCTCTCCTCTCCTCCTTCCTTCTTTCCACTTACCTTCTTTCTTTCTTTTCTCTCCCTCCTCTTTTACTTTTCCCTTCTCTTCCCACATTCATCCTTTCTCCCTTCTTCCTTCTCTTCAACTTACCTCCCTTCCTTTCCTTTATTCTCCTTTCTCTCCCTTTCCTTCCTTCAATTTACCTTCCATCCTTCCTTCCATCCTTTATTCCCTTCTACATCCTTTCCTTATTTTCTTTCTCTCCTTCCCTCTTTCAACTTTCCTTCCATCCTTCCTTCTTTATTCTCCTTTCTCTTTCTCGCTTTCCTTCATTTATTCTTCCTTTCGCTCCCTCTCTCCTTCCTTTCTTCAAGACCATAAAAGGTGGGTGCGACTATTACATGAGAAAAACTCCATTTTATAATTCTCAAATTGTAAAAAGGAGTTTTCCTCGTGTAATAGTCGCACTCCCTCTTTCCTTCCTTCCTTTCCCGTTTCCCGACTATTACATGAGGAAAACATGAGGAAAACTCCATTTTATAATTCTCAAGCTGTAAAATGGAGTTTTCCTCGTGTAATAGTCGCACCTCCCTCTTTCTTTCATTCCTTCCTTTCCCGTTTCCCTTTCCCCAGGAGTGCGCTCTGCCCATGCTCAGGGGCTCACCGGGGTCCTTGAGGGCGCGGCAGACAGCCTTGTCCAGCAGGAGGGGCGGCCGGATGACCTTGGTGCGCTCGGCTTTCTTGACCGGCTTCGTGATGAGGAAGAGGTCCGTGAAGAGGAAGCAGTAGACGTCCATCTGCAGGAAGAGGAAGGAAGAGGCTTGACATTGATGCGAAGCTGCCCCAACTGACAAATATACCGCATTTCATCCCATAATAGTCGCACTTTTTCCATAAAAAGGGGGGTGCGACTATTACACGAGGAAAACTCCATTTTACAGTTTGAGAATTATAAAATGGAGTTTTCCTCATGTTTTCCCCATGTAATAGTCGGGAAACGGAAAAGGAAGGAAGGAAAGAGGGGGTGCGACTATTACACGAGAAAAATTCCATTTTGCAGTTTGAGAATAATAAAATGGAGTTTTACTCATGTTTTCCTCATGTAATAGTCGTACCCCCCCCCCTTTTTATGGAAAAAGTGTGACTATTATGGGATGAAATACAGTATATTTGTCAGTTGGGGCAGCTTCGCATCAATTCCTTGTATAATAGTCGCAACCCCCTGGTGAAAGGAAGAGAGAAGAGTGGAGCTCCAGAGACCCCAATGTCATAGTTCTTAAACTGTACTGTCTTCAGAGAAGGAAGGAAGGAGGGGAGAGAGAAGAGTGGAGCTCTTGAAAGGCAGGGAAGGAGGGGAATCAGGCCAAAATGGGGGTGTGACCATTATGCGATGAAATACAGTCCCCCTTCCCCTTTGAAATCCCGATGCCGAACTTGCTGCCTTTCAGGGGAGGGCCTTAAGGAGGGCCTTAAACTGCCTTGGAATGCAGAGAAGGAGGGGAATCAGGCTCAAATGGGGGTGCGACTATTATGCAATGAAATACAGTCCCCCTTCCCCCTTGAAATCCAGATGCCGACTTTGATGTCTTTCAGGGGAGGGCCTTAAGGAGGGCCTTAAACTGCCTTGGAAGGATGGGAAGGAGGGGAATCAGGCTCAAATGGGGGTGTGACTATTATGCGATGAAATACAGTCCCCCTTCCCCTTTGAAATCCCGATGACGATCTTAAACTGCCTTGGAAAGAAGAGAAGGAGGGGAATCAGGCCATAATGGGGGTGCGACTATTATGCAATGAAATACAGTCCCCTTTTCCCTTTGAAATCCAGGTGCCGACCTTGCTGTCTTTCAGGGAAGGGCCTTAAGGAGAGCCTTAAACTGCCTTGGAAGGAAGGGAAGGAGGGGAATCAGGCCCAAATGGGGGTGCGACTATTATGCGATGAAATACAGTCCCCCCTTTGAAATCCCGATGCCAACCTTGCTGTCTTTCAGGGAAGGGCCTTAAGGAGAGCCTTAAACTGCCTTGGAAGGAAGGGAAGGAGGGGAATCAGGCTCAAATGGGGGTGTGACTATTATGCGATGAAATACAGTCCCCCTTCCCCTTTGAAATCCAAGTGCTGACCTCGCTATCTTTCAGGGGAGAGCCTTAAGGGGGGGCTTAAACTGCCTTGGAAGGAAGGGAAGGAGGGGAATCAGGCTCAAATGGGAGTGCGACCATTATACGATGAAATACAGTCCCCCTTCCCCTTTGAAATCCAAGTGCCGACCTTGCTGTCTTTCAGGGGAGGGCCTTAAAGAGGCCTTAAACTGCCTTGGAAGGAAGGGAAGGAGGGGAATCAGGCTCAAATGGGGGTGCGACTATTATGCGATGAAATACAGTCCCCCTTCCCCTTTGAAATCCAGATGCCGACCTTGCTGTCTTTCAGGGGAGGGCCTTAAGGAGGGCCTTAAACTGCGTTGGAATGAAGGGAAGGAGGGGAATCGGACTCAAATGGGGGTGCGACTATTATGCGGTGAAATACAGTCCCCCTTCCCCTTTGAAATCCAAGTGCCGACCTTGCTGTCTTTCAGGGGAGGGCCTTAAGGAGGGCCTCAAACTGACTTGGAAGGGAGGGAAGGAGGGGAATCAGGCTCAAATGTGGGTGCGACTATTATGCGGTGAAATACAGTCCCCCTTCCCTTTTGAAATCCAGATGCCGACCTTGCTGACTTTCCCCTTCTTAAACTGCCTTGGGAAGAAGGGGAATCAGGCTCAAATGGGGGTGCGACTATTATGCGATGAAATACAGTCCCCCTTCCCTTTTGAAATCCAGATGCCAACCTTGCTGTCTTTCCCCTCCTTCATCTTCAGGCTGCCTTCCAGCAAGAGCTGCCGGGTCTCCTCCAAGGATGTTCCGGGGATCGGGGCCATCAGGTCCAACCGCAGGAACTCCTTCAGGATCTGCGAAGGAGGAGAAGGAGGAAAACAATCAACCCAAATGGGAAGCGCCCCCAAAACGCCCACCCAAATCCTCTTTGGCACCCACTTTGTCCACTTCGTCGTTGCTGCCTTCCACGGCTTCGTAGGCGTCGATCCGGCTCACGATGGAGGCCAGGCGCTGCTGCTCCTGGCGCTGGCGCATGCGCGAGTTGACGTGGTTGATGAAGCGCTCCACCGAGTTGATCTGGGGGGAGAAGGGTCAGAGCTGCCTTAGAAGTAAGGGAAGGAGGGGAATCAGGCTCAAATGGGGGTGCGACTATTATGTGATGAAATACCATCCCCCTTCACCTCTGAAATCCCAATGCAATAATAATACAATAATATTATTGCATTGGGAGGGGAATCAGGCTCAAATGGGGGGTGCGACTATTATGTGATGAAAAACAGTCATAAAATATAGTCATAAAATAAAATGTGATAAAATATAGTCATAAAATATAATTGGGAAGGAGGGGAATCAGGTTCAAATGGGGGTGCGACTATTATATGATGAAAAACAGTCCCCCTTCCCCTTTGAAATCCCAATGCAATAATAATACAATAATAACAAACAAAGAAATACATAGTCATAAAATACAATTGGGAAGGAGGGGAATCACGCTCAAATGGGGGTGCAACTATTATGTGATGAAATACCGTCCCCCTTCCCCTTTGAAATCCCAATGTAATAATAACACAATAATAACAAAGAAAGAAATACATAGTCATAAAATACAATTGGGAAGGAGGGGAATCAGGCTCAAATGGGGGTGCGACCATTATGTGATGAAATACAGTCCCTCTTCCCCTTTGAAATCCCAATGAAATAATAATACAATAATAACAAACAAAGAAATACATAGTTATAAAATACAATTGGGAAGGAGGGGAATCAGGCTCAAATGGGGGTGCGACTATTATGCAATGAAATACAGTCCCCCTTCCCATTTGAAATCCCAATGCAATAATAATACAATAATAACAAAACAAAGAAATACATAGTCATAAAATACAATTGGGAAGGAGGGGAATCAGGCTCAAATGGGGGTGCAACTATTATGTGATGAAAAACAGTCCCCCTTCCCCTTTGAAATCCCAATGCAATAATAATACAATAATAATATTGTATATATAATAATAATAATATATTATAATATAATAATAACATATTATATATATATATATATATACACACACACACACACACACACACACACATACATACATATATATATACATATAATATATAATATAGATTACCATGGTGACGATGGCCTCCCGGGTGCGAGGCTCATCCGTCTTCTTCAGCACGGACTTGAGGAGCAGTGGGTACTTGGTCAGGCGCTGGTGGGGCTTCACCAACATGTCGCTGAGCTTCAGCCGGTTGCACTGCTTGTGCTTCTCAGCCCACTGCAAGGCGAGCACACCATTCAGAAACTGCAAGTCGCTCCTGGTGCAAGAGAATCAGCTATCTGCAAGGACGTTGCCCAGGGGACGTTGCCCAGATGTCTGGTGTTTAACCATCCTTCTCTCATGTCCCCTCATGGGGAGCTGGAGCTGACAGAGGGAGCCCAACCCTCTCTCCCCAGATTTGAACCCATGGTGCCATCGGGGGCTCCTGGCTAGGCTGATGGAAATGGTGGATGGACAGTCAGACAGATGGATGAATTGAT